TGTCATGCCTGATAGGTATAGACCTCTCTGAGCATGTCAAGAGTGTTTTGGTGAATACTCATCCCCAGAAAGAAAATAAGAAAATATCTGAGGAAAAACTTGAGTCCACTAATGTAATAATAGGAGAGAATGATGAAATAGCTGATTTGGTGCCAATGAGAAACCCAAATGGAAGTATATTTAAACAGGAGCAAGAAACTGATCCAACTTTAGAACAGTGCTTTAAAATGATTAATAAAGATCCACTATCACCTGAGAACCCTGAGAGATACTTTGAGGAAAGAGGCCTTTTATATCGAGGAATCTTAATAAATCCTGGGAAAAGAGGAGAGAGCCGTCACAAATTACTAGTGGTTCCTTCCAAATACAGAGAGAAAATAATAGAAAAGGGACACACAGACACCTTATCTGGACATTTAGATATTGCCGAAACTAAGCAAAGAATATCTCAGACGTATTATTGGCCAAAAATGGGAAAACAGATAAAAGAATTCTGTCAAGCTTGTGACCTATGTCAAAAGAAGAGAAATAGGGAAAATAAAGCCAATAGGGAAGACAGGAGTAGGGATGACTATAATAATTATATGGAGGACGTTGATAAGATTTGTAATCAACTGAAACAGGAACACACTGAAAAACAAACAGAAACACAGAGTTGTGTGAGGACTTAGAAAAAGTGAGGATGAGTTGAAACAGGTTAATTTAGTGTATACAAGATCAAAAGGAAAACAGGAAACACTAAATTCAAAATTAGAGGGGAAGCCAGGTCCTTCAGCAGCAAGTCAAAGTATAGATAACCTAGGGAACACTTTGCAGAGACCCTTAGAAATTGCAGCAGAAAGTTTGCAGGGCCAACAACAGAAACAAGAGCTAGAGGCCGACAGAAAAGCCAAAGGGATAGCACAGAGAGTAGTGAACCAAATTGATGCTAGAAGTGTAACCCTAAAAGGTACACCAGAGTTTAGGGAAATAGCTGTTCCTACATTTAACCTGACACATAGAAAGCTGAAATTATCCAGAGGGCGAGCAACTGTGAGGTCATTGGGAAGTCAGAGATAACTGGTCGGGTCGTAAGAGGCATAGAGTCCCAGAAGGAGTTCCGCGCTGAGGTATCCAGATTCGAACCCAGAGCCATGCTGAGCCAAGCAGACAACGAGAAAGATCATCAGCCAGCTGAGTTCCT